TTCCTTAGCTATTATAGGTAGTTAGTTCTACAAATCGAAAAATCTGTAGAATGTGTTTTTCAGAAAGCGGTGTGCAAACGCGCGCGGTTCCTCTGACCCTCCCGGGAACGGGTGTAGCCATCGTTCTCTTCTTACCAAAGCCTGCTCCTTCAGCCTCCATCCCCAGCGCGGAGATGGATGCTCCTATTTATAAATAACCATGGCTGAAGTCTGATTTGATTAGAAGTGTTAGATGTGATTTTTTTTTTTATTTTAGTCATTTTATTTTATAGAAAGATTTTAAGTTAAATATATAGGCAAACTGCTTTATGACGCTGGGTTTTTTGCATTTGTGTTGCCACGTACTAACACAGGCAGGTTTTCTTTTTCAAGTTGGTAGATGTACAATAAGTTATTTTACCTCACTGATGTGCAGTGGAAAAAATCTGAACTGTTTCTGGTAGAGCTGGTAGGGCAATCCGGCGCTGTTAGGTCACTTCTGCTGCACTCTTTGTGGTGGTCAGAGCTGGGGTCCTGCCAAGACCAGTATTACAAGCTGTGCTTTGCTACGCTGGAGTTCCGTTTGTAAAATAGTGTTTGCTTTCCGTCATTTGAGGCCTGGCTTGCTGGTCTCCTCTGGCCTCAGCGGTAAGCGGTTTGTTCTGCTCGCTTGCGTCAAATGTGCGACTGGTGGCCGTTACGTGACGCTCAGTTCGTGGGGACAGGATTCACGCATGTGAGTGAACTCCAGAAGTATCACAGGACGTCAGTCGGACATGTCGAAATCTGGGATGCTGAAATTCTCGGACGTTGAACCGATACCTTCTCAATGAAGACACTTCATTTCCAGCACAAGTAAAAAAAAATTGGAAAATGCATGTTTTAATTTCAATTTTGTAACTTTTTGATAGCATAATTACTTTAATAGCTAGCCTTCATTTCTGGCATTTTATTATGTAAATGTCTATTGTGTACTGTTGTAAATTCACGTACCATATCTCTAGAGTGTTATCTGTTACTAAATGCAAAGTTCTTTAAATGTTTTTTTTTTCAGTAGGGTGAAAAATGTCTTTGAAGGCCTTTTACTTTTAAAGCTCCACCATCATAAATTGACTGTTACTAACAGAACATTAAATAATCTTCATCTCTGTCTTGAACAGAATTTATTTGCAGTGCCGTATGAAGTAGGCTCAGTGCGTTACTCGGGGAGCAGGCAGGGCAGGCAGACTTCCCCTCCCGGATCGTCTCTACCTTCGTCCACGTTAAATCCTCAGAGGGAAACGTCAGTCTTCTCCTGACATTTTTGGCAGTGTCGGTGATAACTTGCCAGTAGATCTCGGCATAGTGTTTACCTCTGTCTAAATCTTCTAAATCTTTTACTTGACGCTCCTGCTCACAGAAGCCCCTGCACATGGGGTCTCGCTGCACATGGCACAAGTAACCCAGCCCTGCAGCGGAGGAGGGATCGGGCGCGGCGGTGGGGGCTGCAGCCGGGTGCATGCTCAGGCCTCCCGGGGTGCAGTGCTGTTCAGCAGCTGCAGCCTTGTGAACTGTGCTGAGAATTGGTAACAGGTGTGAAAATAGGTTTTTCTGGGGGCAGCAGGAACTAGCGTGAGTACTTACACGGTGTTAAGTACTGCAGAAGCTGAAAGAGGCGTGCAATGTTCTGTCAACGTCAGAGAACTCCATTCAAATGAATTTGGTCTCGCATAGGCCTGGAAGAGATCTCCTGAGATGCCAGATCCCATCTCTCTACTGGCACGTGTCACTTCCCTTTAGTAGAGGTCAGAAGCTCCCTCTCCAAGGGAGCTGGGTGCATTTTCCTTACCCTAAACAACGTGCTTTCTCACTGAGTGTGTGGCAGATCTCATTTTCCCCACGTGCCCTTCAAAAGATGACTGCAAATCAGTATTTTGGCACCTTTGTGTTTTACTACATCATAAATACTGTCCACAGGGAAACGAGCAAAGGTGCTGAAGTGTGTGAACTGCAGTGCAAGCTGTCGGTTGTCCACTGGTATTTACAGCGGATTCTCACAAAACCCTGCCTGCAGGCCCGTGGCCTCCGACGGCTTCAGTCGCGGCAGCTCTGCGCCCGTCCCGGTGGTTACTGGGTCTGAGCTGTCTGCGGGATCCCGCCGGCGGAGAGCGGGGCCCCGCCGCAGCCCTTGGCCTCCCCCCCGGCCCAGGGGAGCTTGGCTGTTGGCCTGGCTCTAGTGGGTCTTTTCCTCTCTGATTCCCATAAACCAGATTTGTTTCTTTTTCCAAGCACTCTGCTGAACACAAGAAGCACGTAGGTATGACAAGATGCGATACTGAGGTGTGGTTACGATGGGTTAGATAGAGCCTGATTTATTACAAATTTTTCTTTAGAAGCTGTTAACTGAGCTGAGATGGAGAGGAGGCAGTGCCGTGCTGTCCTGGCCGGTGGCGCTCGCTCAGACTGATTTTTCACATCACTTTTAAGATGCTGATCTTCATTCCGAGCCGCATCCTTTTTTTCAGACAGTGCTGTAAGCTAATACCCTTTTAAAATTCCATTCACGGGTATTCAATATCTAATCAACCACATGGTTTAAAAAATATTCTTGCGTCCCGGAGGACTTTCTCTGTTACAACTCCATGCTACTGATCTTTTTTCTTAACAAACAGGAAACTTAGCAGCTTAACTAAGACAGAGCCAAGCAAAGCAGTAATGTAATGCAATTACTTTCGTCACACCACATCTTTTACGATGGCAACAGCACGCAGCTTAAGCTGATTCTCCACCTGAAACAGAGTCTGCCTTGCAAGTGTTTCAAGGACGCTTTGGTACATGGAAGATTTAAAGAAGGTTTTTTAACTTCAGGCACTTACATCTACTTTTAGGCAGCCTGATTTTCAGAGCAGCTGTGCAGCTGCAGCTCCTCGGACCTCAGAAATGCCCATCTTTGCTGAAAACCAGGGATGAGGCTGCACTGTGCAGGTCAGCTCCGTGCGGGCCACCTCGGCTGAACTGCTGCCTCGGTTCATCGGCGGCGGGGCGGGTTCAGAGGCCAGTGACTGTGCGGTCGCTGGAGGAAGGGGCGCGGAGGACCACTGGGGGTGGTCGCTGCGGAGGTAACTTTCTGCTATGTTAGTGTTTACAGCCCTGTCATTCTCCTTCAAAACCTGCTTCTGGATCCCAGAAACTTCCTTGCATTGGTGGGTCCACGCACGTTTCCTGTCCCCTGACTCGCACTGTCAGCTTCGCGTCAGCTGCGAGACGAGGTTGGGGAGAATTAACCCTCCTCGCCCACAGGCAAGCCGAGGCCAGGATGCCCTGGCGTGTTCCTCACTCTTACACAAGGTGAGAACAGATAAAGAGAAGGCCAAAGAAACTTCACAGCTTTTCTCTGTATTGCTTGCGGAGCTCTCAGTTGTTCCCCACCCTCTTCCTTTTGCCTCAGTCCTCACTCTTCATCTCTGAGGCTGCTTCTGGCCTTGAGGGCATTCAGTGGGGCCAGAGGACAGAGGAGGAACGCGTCCCAAACCGGCTCCTGAGTAAGGAGGGGCTCGTGGGCTTCCACTGCACAGAAAGCAGCAGGGAGGCGCTGGGCCCAAAGATGCTCTTGTTTTCTAAAATTACCGAGCCAGGCGTGCCGAGCTTTCTCTGTCTCCTGATTATCAGTCCTAGAATGGTGGGAAGGACAGAAACGAGAAGGACCCTGAGCGCAATCTGTAACGCTGAACACAAGCCTGAGGCATCTCCAGCCTCGTGCTGTCCCAGCACCTTGTGGAATGTTTTGTGTTAGCTGCAAACCGAGGCATTTTTGCCTTACAGAGAGCAACCAAAAATCGTGAGGTGGACGAATAATTGGCCAAGGGTCTGTGTGTACAGCTCGTGGAAGTGAACTCGCAGTAGCAGCCGTACAAATGGCACGTTTTTTTGTCTTTGTTTCTAAAAGTAATTTGATTTCATGGCTTTCTGTAGAATATTGTAATAATTCTGCTGTAAATACAATAAAACCACAGTTTGCTGAGATGGCCTCCGTGTTGTTGATGGAAAACAGATGAAATACAAGTGACACTGTCAGCCACCGGAACCACCGGGCGCGTCTGCCCATGGCCGTGGTGCAACTGGTGCTCGCTGCCCCATGTAACACCGACCAGGGAAGCTCGGGGTGACAAACACACTTTAATTGGGCTGTTTACATTAAAAATTTATTTTTCCGCAATGTTTAAAAAAACAGAAAGACATAAAAAAATATTTTTAAAAAGATCGACAAATTCTGTTTAAAAGTGCTTCAGTTCGGCCGCTGGACGCGTCATGTCCCTCTATGCTGCCATAAGCAGGCATCGCAATGCGCGTGCCGACCAGGCTCCCCGCACAGCGCCTGCGTGTGCCGCTCCCCAGCGCCAGTACCGGTTTGTCCGAGGAGCTGGGCGCAGGAAGGGGTTATGGGCACTGAGGGCTTCAG